CCCCCCCCCCCCCCCCCCCGTTTACCTCAAGGGTAGTTAGTGTATGGCATAAAATATTTATTAACTGCATATTTAGTATAGAAAACTATGACCTCATATTTATAAAATGAGGTAATCAGATTTCAGGTTTTAAAATATCTACACATCAAATTACTAAAATATTTCTTCAATGCAACTGAGGACCTTCCTAACCAAGCATCTTCATGAATATTTATGCATATTACTTGTGTATGCTGCTCCAAGGAAGCTGTAATTTCCAGCATTCCAACATTATGAAAAATTATATTCCCTGGGTAGGTTTATGCACACAAATCATAGAAAGCAGCATAATTTTCCTTTTTCCTAAAAAAAAAATGCCAGTTAGGAAAAAAAAATGCATTCTCTAAATATATACCACAAGCTCCATTTCTCCATAATAGGGAGGTTGCGGTTAGAAAACCAAAAGCCTTTTGTCTTTAACTACATTTCTCTGGGGGAAAGAGAAAAGTATCCTGGTCCATTCCCAGGAGATTCAACTTCTGTTTAATCTATTCTACCGGAATCTGGAGCAGCAGCCTTTGGAGGCAGCCTTCCACTGAGATACACCCAACAGCCACATGCATTTTTTCCTTGGACTGCTTTATCTTAAAGCTTTTCCCCCGACTTTACGCACAAGGAGAGGTTGGCAGGGAGAATAATACCTTCTTTCTTTTCCCCATAAAGTGATAAATATTCCTAATTTCTTCCTTTGTATTACAAAGGTATAAAATATTAAACCCTATTAACAAAGTAAAGGTACTCAGACCTCCATTTGTGCCAGTACAAACAATCATAAGAAAACATAGGCTATTGAACTAATGGGAAAATTGGACTGGGTTATTAGATCCGAAACTTTTTAACTCTTGCTATGTAGCAGGTTTTGACCTTTCATTGGACTCAAAATTTTAAGCTTGCCAATGCTGCTGCCTAAAGCAGAGTCATTTTCAAGCACATATTCCTCACCAATTCGGTGTTCTGATACTCTGTTCCTGTGCATCAATAACCCTTTTTCAACAGACTTCAGTAGGAGATGGATTTTCTTGCAACACTTAATGCTTATCTATCTTATTTGAGGTTTCTGGATTTGTTTTTCTGTAACAGAAATGCATGCTATGTGAATGTACTTGCACAGGTTTCCTCAAATGTGCTTAGATTATCACTAGGACATTAAATAAGGTTGGATTTCTATCACTTTCAGTCCTTTCCATCCATGCATTTAAAAAACAAATATGATTGAGATTGCTATTTAGAAATCTTTTGCAAAAGACTTCTCCCCACCTTCCCTGGTCAATAAATCTTGCAGATGGCTGTGGACAAGGATAAGAAGAAACTCCACCATGCCACAAGCAAGGGGAAGTTCTTTTTTTTTTTTTCAGAATGTTTTAATGTACTAAGTAAAACCAAGAGAGACTGTATTTCTTTAAAATTAAGTTTGAATTTTCAATTCACTGTCCTGAGACTGATCTCAAAAGCCACAATCACCACAGAAGTTAAATACTTATTAGCTTGAAATTGGCACTAAAATGTAACATATTAGTGCATTCAAGGCATTAATTTTCTAGCTCTGTTAATATGCCTTTCACATTTTCATGGATTTGGGATCTTGTGTTTTTGTAGCTTTCACCAATCATCATGAAAATTTTTGAGTGGCTCTGTTGTTATAAAACTCCCATGGAAAATACTTTTAAGAACTGCAATAATGAAGAGTCAACCATGTTGTCATGAATTATCCCAGTGAGGCACCTGATGATGAACAGGGAGTCCCAATGAAATCTAGAAAGGGAATCTCTCTCCACTTGCAGGGAGCTGTTTAATCCACAATAAAGTGCACAAATGATACAGGAAAAGCACCTTTCCGGTTAGGATCTCCATCAATATGCCCAATCTGAAAAAGAGAACATATTTTAGAGTAGTAAAGAGATACATTTTTCAGGAAATAAATGGCACTCACATAAAGTCCAAAGTCCATTGTCCAAAATGTAGCCACGTACAAATGCTAAAGCACAGCAATCAAATGATCTCTGACATAAGTAGTAATGTAGCTTTATTTCCAATTCACAATAATGACAACTAATAAAACAAGTTTAACATATTCTCAGTTCTTTTTAGCCATCTTAAACTTAAATTATTTAAAGGACGTTGATTTTTTAAAATAAATTTTCATCCAGGTATTTTTGTGTTGACTCATTTCCCAGAGGTGTTCCCATCTATATCTGAAAATATAACAATTGCTATTGTTCCTTTAAAAACAATGTTTATTCTGAAGTTTCAAATACTGAATTCACAACACACAACTGGGCCAATGAGGGGGAAAGATGAGAGGGTCAGGTTAGCACCAATTGACCTAATTCAAATAATCCTTGAATTAAAAGGATTCAGTCAGAGGGAATTGACTTAGTCCAGATCATATCCAGTCTTGCACAGGATGATGTTAACTTTCCTTTGAGAAGACCCTTCTGCTTAAGCTCTGAAAACATTCCCAAATGTAAAAACAACAAGGATGTGCCCATGGTTACTTGTGTATGTTCCTATGGTCTTCCTTTCTCTACTTCCTAAGTTGTTAATCTTGCACCTCTGTGCAAGATGCCTGCTGTTGCTCTTATCCTTCATTAAAGGCTCTGTTTTTCTTGCAAACAGTTGGAGCATATTTTCTTCTCATGAGCCATTTTAGGAGAATTGGTCTGGCAGTCAGGATGGAAAGAGGGGAGGATGGAAAGAGAGCTTTTTCACTGCTTCCTCTGGAAGCCTGTCTTCTTCTGTCTTGGCTTTGTTGGCGGAGGGGCTGATGCTAAGCAGAGATCTGTGAAGCAGCAGTTGTGCTGGAAAATAGACTGCTAGAGAGAAGAGCCACTCTAGGGATAGGCTGCCAAAATAAGTTGTAGTTGCACAAGGTAAGTGGTAGCTGCACATATTTATGAGAATTAGGGGTTGGAGCTTGGTCACTTCCCCTCCTCTTCCTTTCCTTTCCAGCTTCCTCCTTGACCAATGCATTAAGGACCAGCAATATAATGAAACTTTGCCACTATTTTCCTGGTACAAGAGCTTGATGAACACCAGGAATTTCCTAGAGAAAATGGGTGGGGACTCTGTTCCCAAAATGGAGTTTTCACCCAGGAATTGTAATCATGTGGTACCAGAAACGCTGATATGGGCACTTTACTGCATTAGTGATAGAATGTGTTAACAATGTTGTGGGAATACAGCAAATGAAATTTCCCTTCTTCAATACCACAAGACATATATTGACCTATAAGGAAAGTGACCCTGAATTAAAATAATTCCCCCCAAAAGGAAGTTTATACTAATTTCTGATCTTTACTATATCCTCAGTAAAAATGTATAGGTCAATTGTTGGGGGGAACTAGCCTTCCTGCAATATTTCTGTCATAAATTAAGGAGAAAACAAGCTATTTAGGCACAGCATCAACTCTCTTCTCCACTCTGAACATGCCATCACCGACAGCTTTTGAGCCAGATTAGCAAAAGACAATTACCACGTTCATATAACCTTCTATACCCAAACCAACATGCGATGGCTGGCTCACATGACATGCTAAGACAATGGCTGGGTTCCCTTCAACATGCTGAGCCACAAATGACACAACTCCATTTTAGCCTAGGCTTGCACACTGCATCAACCCCACCATTCAGCTGTTCATTCACCTACCCTACTTACATACAGATGCCCCAACTAGACTGGCAAGGATCCAATTTCCTTGCCTGAGCAGGAAGGAGAGTTTAAATGGTGAGGGGGGGTGGGCTCCCTGCTCTGCAACCTGTCTCACTCCCAGCTGTTCAGGAAACAGCCCAGCAGCAGCAAAAAGAACAGTGCAACTTAATGTGGAAGTACCTAACTGAGAACTTCCTTTCCACGTCCCATCACGAAAGGCAAGGGGAACCTTTAGGAGTTGCCACTAGAAAGTGCTCTAGGCAGCTTGAAATAAGTGTTCCTAAGTGGTAGCTTTCACTGAGTTCTGGGGATAGCAGGGTTGGGTTGGGTTGGGCTGGCTGGGGAAGCCTAGAGGACAAGAGGTACTCCACTCCTGATCTATCCAGATATGAATTCTGTACAAAGGGAAGGAATAAAAATGTCTCCAGTTCAAATTAGACAGAAATAAAGTTCACATATTTCATAGTAGGCACTTCTGAAACAGACTACTTCGTCTAGGAAGTCAATTCTGTGGATTGTTGCTTTATAACTACAGATAGCAAACTACAGGTTTTAAATCCCCTACCAGCTTCAGCTGAAAATAATACTTACCCACCATTCCTGATCTTCCTCCCCATCAACTATGATGATATCACCTTCTGAAAATGTTAGCTCATCTGGATTATCTGCTACACAATTATAGATTGCTTTTACTCTCTTGGGCTTTGTTTTTGACTGTAATAAACAGAGAGAAAGATGTATAAAAGGAACCCAGTGTTGAAAACATAGACCAGACACCACAGAAATAGGCCACAGAGATTGTCTCTTCTCCAACAGATAGAGGTAGCAGAACACAGGAAAGAGCCTTGTACCAAAACCGCTACTGGTCCGTCTAACATGAGTGTTGTCTGTATTGAGTAGCAACAGCTCTCCAGAGTTTCAGGTCAATTTTTAAAGAATTATTTGGATAGCCAAGTAAACCTGGGAACTACAGCTGAGGCATGACCTTTACCGTATTACTTTTCCCTGCTTGTATTCTTATGTACTTTTGCCTTCAAGTACAACTTCTCTTACTAGCAAAGGTAACACTTTTGTTCACTGCACTTCTCTGACAGCATTCCATCATAACCATGATCATTTCAAAATCAGAACAGTAGTTAAAGTCAAGAGTTACCACATCTATTTCTGAGAAGCAAGACATCACTCTTTATAGATAAAAGTTATATAGCTCCTTCTGAAACATGTAAAAGGATTTTTTTTTCTGATGAGCTATTTAAATTCTGGACATTTCGCTGAATGTTATTTCAGTGAGTAACTACTTTGTTTGCTTTTCTAAGCAGCCATCTGTTAATTGAAATGACACACTGTGCAGCTGTGTCACAAAATATTGGCAACTCTAGAAAATACCTCAAAAATATAAACCAACAAGATAAAAAACAACACAAGAGAGAGCATGACATAACCACGGGCAACCCACAATTATTCAATATTCTAACCATTACATACAGACTCATCTAGCAGACTGGCCCAATTGCCCAAGGAGAAAAGCTACGTCTTCAAAGCCTTATGGAAGACCACAGGTTGGGGCCACCTGAATCTCAGGGTATATATATGAATGTACAAAGAGCAGGTGCTATGATGGAGAAGGTTCATTTCCTGGGTCCTGCCAGATGACACAGTTTTATAAAAAGGACCTGGATCCATTCTGTTGGATCTCATGGGATGGGCAGAGATATTATTCTCCTATGCAAAGTTTTATCTCTTACAGTTACAATGGGATAGGTATAAAATACAGCTATGTTATTCAAAATTATAGTTGTAATTTATTATTTATAGTTAACTCCCAGTTCAAAGACGCTATTTGGGCTAGATTTTCACAGCTTGTTCAATATGCAGTTATATTTGCAACATACAAACACTTTTCTTTAGAACAGTCCGAGACTTCCATGTGATTTCAAGTAAAAGTTCTTCCAGAATAAGTGATACATAAAAATCCAAATATACCTTCTTGTTAGTTTCTCAGTCCAAACAATGTGTCTGTATTCAATGGGTAGCAAACAGGGCCAATGGATTCTGAAGAAATTCCTTCCCCTTTTAGAGTAGTTAAGATTCTATACAATGTCTTTAACTTTTAGCATGGAGAACTGCCAACTACAACCTTTTAAGAGAATGACCTATTTTCTTTACTACTTACTATTTGGGACTTCCTTGGCATTGGTGCTGGAGGTTGGATTGGAACTGATATGTTGGTAGAAGGGGCAATTTGAGATCCAGCAGTCTCAGATGCAGAGGAAGACTCAACTGCTATTAAACAAACAAAAAATTAAAGCTAACTTGAAAATAACAGACATAGCTCTATTATTAGATACTTTCTCATGTCATTAGTCTTGTTCACCAAGCCATTTTTTGTAGCTCTACAGAAATATACATCATGTCTCACATCAAAAGCCCTTAAACTATATAATCGGAACCAAGGATGCAATTCAGCGTGTACTAATCATAATTTTAAAATATAGATAAGAATGGTATATATGTCTTGCTCAAATCCTTTGTTAGCAAAATCCTTATGCTTATCTTCTCTGCCATACATTCTTTATAACTACCCAGAAAATGCTGGGGTGATTAGTCACTGCCTCCAAAAATGTACTCTGATGGAGAAAATACTGTTTTTGTTGTTATAGGGAACCCTTCTGTGCATAAAGCACTCCCCCAAAACCCACACTGTGAAGTCAGTTCATGCACCTTTTGCTACATATGAAATAAGCCTGTTGATTAGTCCAAAGTTACTCCTGGAGGAGTAGAAATTAACAAGATAATTTTTAAAAATAATTACCACAAGACTGCTGCAGAGATCCAGGCCCCTTACTCTTGTTAGTTAAGTTGGATGACTTGTCAGTCCTATTTAGGAGGGAAGCAAAGATTACTCTCCATCATTGCCTCCCATTTAGCCCATCATCACCACCATCACCATCATCATCCCATTTATTTTTTGAAACCATATTCAGCATGCTATTCTGAACGGCACTTTTAACACATATTGACAAATGTTCAACCATATCTTAAATATCTCCTTAAAATAAATATCTGACAAATAACAACAGCAACAACAGCTAGAATGTTCAGAAATGGTCATTCTACCTAGAGAACTCTAAAATTCAAGTTGACATATCTGGAGAGGCCTTAAGTTAAAGAAGGCTGCTCTAAAGCTTAGAAGCAGTACTCGTTTCCACTGCCTTTTTATTCCTTCTTTCAACTGTACTCTACGCACAACAAACTATGAATTGGAAGTTTTGGAGAAAGCATGTCACATGGGGAGATGCAATTTTTTCCCCCAAACTACACTTCTCTGTTTAACTGTACCAGTAATAGGGACCATCTGTTCTAGAGAAAGGTCTGGCCAGCATGTTGCCTTTTTATTTATAACATTGCTTCTGATTGGCTCCACTAAAGCTCACAAGACAGGTATTCAGATAAAAATAAACATTATACCATTAATATGCTCAAGCAGGATGTTCAGTTTAGTCTGATGTTTTTTCTCGTGGCAATAAGGGGTGCAATCTAGATTGGACTTTCACGATTTTGTTATTAAAGCTGACCTCCCACCCCAATGCTTTGAGTCTTATCCTTCCCCTGCCAATGTCTCATCAGAGCTTCCTCTTGCTCATCATTTGAGAATGAATTAAATCAAGAGGACAAAACCTTCAAGAGAAGCCACTCAACATAAAGTGCAAATAATAAGTAGAGTTTAATATCCAGGCCACAATTTGAGTATGTGTGTATGTATATATATACATATACATACATACATACATACATACATACATACATAGATACATACATATATATATATATTTTTTTTCACAGAACTTTTAGAATGTAAATCTCACAAATTACCCAGAAAGAGGCTTTTTCTGAGATACATACATACATAGATACATACATATATATATATATTTTTTTTCACAGAACTTTTAGAATGTAAATCTCACAAATTACCCAGAAAGAGGCTTTTTCTGAGATACATACATACATAGATACATACATATATATATATATTTTTTTTCACAGAACTTTTAGAATGTAAATCTCACAAATTACCCAGAAAGAGGCTTTTTCTGAGGTATATATATACATATACATACATACATACATACATACATACATACATATATATATATATTTTTTTTAACAGAACTTTTAGAATGTAAATCTCACAAATTACCCAGAAAGAGGCTTTTTC